TGCCTTTTATTTTATGTTCTACTTATGGGTTTGTCTTAGTTAAACGCATCGACTCATATTATCCAGTCATTAATTTAACGAATTTAAAAATAAGTGACACGTATCAGAATTTATTTTTATTTTACTTTATTTTAATTATATATTTTGCCAATAAGTAATTATTTATATTTACTAAATGTGTCAGGACAAGCCGTAATTAGCAACTCCCTTAAATGTTAAATTACTTTAATAATACTTTTAGAAATGGAGTACATATATGTAAAGGTATAAACTGTATACTAGGAAGACTCAGAGTCGAATGCCTTCTCTATAGTTCACATCGGTATCCCGTACCGTAACATAAATAAACACAGGGCTAGACATAATATTTCACTATTTCAAGAGGCCCTACATTATGAATATTCAACACTAAAAATGTCTGGCTGAATCTCGGACCTCACAAATGTAAATATAATCATTTTTAAATAATAATTTTTTTATTTATTTGCTTTTAGGTATTAACTTTGTACTCTTTTTTAAAGTATGTAGGATTATTTCCATTTCCATTTCCAAGAATATCCATTTAAATACCAAGCGCCGAGTATCTAATATCTAATAACCAGCTGTTCATCTCAATCCGTTGCTGAAGAATCAAATTTATATAGAGCGCTCCTCACTTTGTACTGCGTGTTGCCTCTATTCAATCTCGTTCCGAGGAACGAATCCGCCGGACTCGTTCCGTGTGCGGATTGAACCTGGAATGAATGAGTCCACAAAAGTATCGAAACTTCCCATCACTAGTGGCAACCCCCCACCAGACACCCTTAAACTATAATAAATTGTAATTCTACTTACGTTTTAGTATAAAAGCTGAATTTTGTATATGTTACTTGGGTAACTACTAAAAAATGTTTCCTTAGTAGCCGGACAGTTTCGACAGTTCTAACATCTTGCCAGACACAGTTGAAGATCAGCCGTAGGTGTGAGCGCTGAGGCAATATACATCCAAGCAAATGTGAGTAAAGATAGTTTTTTGGATTTATCGGATAATTTCATTATATATGAATTAATTATGACTAAAATATACATTTTTAAAAATTATTCGCTATAATTTTCATGTTAACAAATCAATAAAAAATAAATCTAATAAATTAATATCTAATGTTTTGGAATTTTATGAACTTTGTTTTTAAAATTTAATTTAATTCAAATTTCGATATTTCATTAAAAGTTTGTTGTTTATTATGAATATAGGAGAAAAGAATTGACGAAGACAATGAAAAAATAGTTTATTTATATTCATAGCCATCGTATACAAAATAAAAAAAATTTACTGGATTTAAAGAAGCGTTTAATGATTTTAATAATTTTCTTGGATGTAGTCGATATCTTCATTATCTTCATCACTACTACTCCAGTCCGTGGCATGATCGTTTTAAATATCGCCTTCTCCGTCAGTTTCTGTAAAAATTTAATCAAGTTAATACAATAATTATGAATAGCTACAAATTTATGTACAATAATTTGAAATAATAATTAAAAATTGTTATTTTCCTATACCCAATCAATATCTTCTGGTTGATATGTGGTTGCATTTTTTAGGTCATTGTTCCAAATAGTAGATATATAGTTTTCTCGCAGAAATCGCTGTCACAGCTCGCTTTTACGAGTGGTAGAGAGTCAAAAGCTTCGTTAACATCTGACACCGTATACGTATTGATGAACATATTAAAAAAGAAGAATATCAAAAAGCTGTCATAAAGTTCGGTGATAGCAAATTATTTGAAAAAATGGCGAACCACAAAACATCTTCAATATACTACAGCGATTTATATGTAATGTATACAATGTTGGTGAGATAATTGATGTTGATGCTACTCGGCTTCAAATGTTCATCAACACGTACATGGCCTCAGATGTAAACGAAGCTGTTAATGATTTCGGCGAGCAAACTATATCTGCCTATATCTATTATATAACTATATTTGGAACAATGCTCACCTGAAAAATCCAAGCACATATCAACCAGAAGATAATGGTTGGATAGAGGAAAATAACAAGTCCCATTTTAAATGGTTTGAAGGGAACTAGCTGCCAAATTATGTCAGTGATTTACTAAAAACTCTTATCAGGTATTTAATTATTATGTCAAATTAATGTACATAAATTTGTAGCTATTCATAATTGTTGTATTAACTTGGTTAAATTCTTACAGAAACTGATGGAGAAGGCGATATTGAAAACGATCAAGCCACGGACTGGAGTAGTAGTGACGAAGATAATGAAGATCTTACTACAACAATGAAAATTATTAAAATCATTAAACATTTCTTTAAATCCAGTAATATATTTATAAAACCATGTCTTTTTATTTTGTATACGATGGCTATGAATATAAATAATTAAACTATAATGAAATTATCCGATAAATCCAAAAAACTATCTTTACTCACATTTGCTTGGATGTATATTGCCTTAGCGTTCGCACCTATGGCTGAACTTCAACTGTGTCTGGCAAGATGTTAGAACTGTCGAAACTGTCTGGCTATTAAGGAAACATTTTTTAATAGTTACCCAAGTAACATATACAAAATTCAGTTTTTATATTATAACGTAAGTAGAATTACAATTTATTAAAGTTTAAGGGTGTCTTGGGGGGGGTGCCACGATACTAAATGTCTGTCAATGGAGGACGTGATTTCTAATATTATCCCGAAGAAAATATAAAAAAAATACGCTTTATACTTTGACGATTTTGGGTAGCAATTTTATACACTTTTGCTACCTGTTACCTGCCAAAGCCACGATGATCAAAACTTCATAGTCGCCGATCGTTCCTTCCTCTGTTGGGGACATGCGCAGAGAAACTTTCAGCTTTTATACTTACTATGAGGAAGGTCTGGCGATCACGGGCTCTTGCTCTATTAGGCATCTTTCACGGTGACAGTTTCGTTGTAATGATACTAATGATTGTCACTTTCACGTGCTATTATTTAAATTTTTACGTTTCTTAGTTGTGACCTTTGTGCTTGACTTTGCATGTCATTCGATTTTCTTACAATCATGAGCAGACGGTATTCTTACACTTGCAGTAGGATTACGTTAAAAAAAAATCCTAAAATTACTTTGTCTAAATTAAGCCTATGTCTCCTTGGACAGCCAAATTCACGATATCTTGGAGTTAGGGCTCCTGATTCCATCTGGAATCTTGAATCTGGAATTGTGGGGAGGGTAGCAAAGCTACAGCACTTAGGCCCCATTGGGGCCCTTGTACATCCTCCCATTAGAGAGATCAATCCACCTGAGCCGCCAACCAGCCTATTACAGTGAAAAAGGTGGTGACGTTGCTCAGGGGGGTCTCCTGATTCCATCATTCTTGCATGAATTTTCCCAAACAATCTTGTAGAAGGTTACCTTCTATCAGGGAAAAGTTGCTGATATTCTTTCTAGGCCGCCAGACTATTTCCATTACAGAAACCATAAAAAAATGCATATCGGCATATTCACGGTTAGTAAAAGCATGATGGTTCTTGGTTGTAAAAAAAATCGAATGAAATGCAGAGTCAAGCACAAAGATCACAACTAAGAAATGTATGAATTTAAATGATTGCGCGCGAAAGTCAGAGTCTAAGTTTTTACAAAAAGTTATCACTACAGGCTGATTCAGTCATATTGTAATTAATTTTCAGGGAAGATAGTCAAAATGAGTAGAATACGAATACGTGATTAAAAATTGAATATGCATATTTACGCTGAAAAAAAATTTTCAAATCCTTATTTAATCCCCCTTTTCGGACTGTTCCTGACTCCCGACCCACAAAAGTTTTATCAAGAGTGAATCTTGACCTACTGGTATTAATGGCTCATTAACCTAGTCTCTACTGTGTTTTTAATGTGTAGTAAACGATGAGGAATAAACAGATCTTTATACCTAAACACATGTATAAGATACTTTTTAACATTTTAAATATTAACAAGTATGATTTATTTCTTAATAATATACATGTATAAGGATAATAATTGTTTTCGAAAGTTGGGTTATTACAATTTAGTATTTTTAATATTGTTTAATTAATTATTCAGTTTCTAGTACGTATACCTAGTGACTTATTGCTTTTGAAAGAGTAGTATGGTACCTACCTATTTAAAATGCCAATATGGCTAAAACAACACTCATCCGTCCACCGCACTTTGTTAATAAAGTAGAAATCTGCTGCACTTTGATTTTGATCAATTGCAAAATTTAAGACGACTGGGGAAATCAGTTGTTTCACTTCAACATTCAAACAATTTATGGTCTGCCGTCACGTTCCCGGTCAGAAAATGTGATGCAAAGTGGGGCATCGAATTAACGGGAGTTAAGGGGTAATTTGCTTATCTTTTAAAAGGTCGAGTAAAATTTTTTTTTTAGATGTTCTGTCTTTAAAAGGCTCTGAATACATGGTTAAAATTAATGACATGACTGAATCACACTGTGTAGTGTACAATGTAACAGCAATCAGTTCGACCCTATCACTCATAATTATATAGGAAGGTTTAACAAGCCTTCAAAGATGTAGTTTTTGATATCACTGTAATCTACCTTTTTCAAAATATTTATGATTTTTAACAACATATTTGCCAATTTTTAATATTCCTACAATAAATACAGTTGTCGAAAACAAGAATAGGAGATAATTTCTCTATATGTTTACATTATTTAATGATTTCAATATATCAGATAATTACTAACGATTAGTTTGTCTATGGTTATTTTGGTTTATGGATAAACTAGGTTTTAAAAAGAACTATAAGATAAATAAAATAAATTTAAAAAAAAATTAAAATTTCTGATTGACTCTTAAAATCCTAAATCAGAGTGACCTTATATTAAAATGTCTGATGATCCATTTCCTGGTATACTGCAAGTGCAAATTATTTTTAATCCACGCATGCTCATAACTTTTTTTATTTAAATAATTTTCAATATGACATGTGTAGTGTGACACCCTGTATATAAACACCTTTAATATTATTTTTAGATCAACTTCTTGGGAGCGGCCACAGCCTTTACCTCCTGGTTGGGAGATGAGACGAGATCCGAGAGGACGTGTTTATTATGTAGATCATAATACAAGAACTACAACATGGCAACGACCTAATTCAGAGAGGTTGCAACATTATCAGCAATGGCAGGGACAAAGACAGCATATTGTTCAGCAAGGTATTTTTATGTTATATTCTTTGATAAAATGAGTAAAGGGAATACTTAAAAATTACAGGTAACCAAAGATTCTTATATCCCCAACATCAACCTGGTCCAATGCCTGGCCCTTCTGTGATAGCAGATGATGATGACGGTCTAGGTCCTTTACCATCGGGTTGGGAAAGGCGTGTTCAACCAGAAGGTGAAATACTATATTTATTTATGAATCTAATATGAATTTTTCTTTTTGTTTTCCTTTCAAGGACGTGTATATTTTGTGAATCATAAAAATCGTACAACCCAGTGGGAGGATCCAAGAACACAAGGACAGGAAATTAGTGATATAGATGAACTGCCTTTGCCTCCAGGTTGGGAGATTAGATACACTGAAGATAATAAGAGATATTTTGTCGATCATAATACGAAAACAACAACGTTTGATGACCCCAGGCCAGGGGCTCCAAAAGGTCCTAAAGGTGTATATGGCGTACCTAGAGCATACGAAAGGTCTTTTAAATGGAAGATTAGTCAGTTTAGGTATATTATGCATTACACAAAAAATAATTTTGCAGTGACTTGATAAGTCAGTAATCAGGTTATGTTATTATCTTTTTAGGTTTTTATGTCAAAGTAATGCTTTACCAAGCCATATCAAGATTCAAGTTTCTCGACAGACTTTATTTGAAGATTCTTTTCATACAATAATGCGTCTCCCTGCATATGAGCTACGTCGTAGACTGTATATAATATTTAAAGGTGAAGAAGGTTTAGATTATGGGGGTGTAAGCAGAGAATGGTTCTTTTTAGTATCACATGAGGCATTAAATCCTATGTACTGTTTATTTGAGTACGCAAACAAAAACAATTATAGTTTACAAATTAATCCAGCATCATATGTCAATCCTGAACACTTGACATATTTCAAATTTATTGGACGATTTATCGCTATGGCTTTGTATCATGGTCGATTTATCTATTCCGGCTTCACGATGCCATTCTATAAGAGGATGCTCGGTAAAAAGCTTATCATGAAAGACATTGAAAGCATCGATCCGGAATTTTACAATTCCCTTGTTTGGATTAAAGAAAATAATATCGACGAATGCGGATTAGAATTATACTATAGTGTCGATTTTGAGGTATTGGGCCAAGTAGTTCACCATGAGCTAAAAAAGAATGGAGATAAAGAACGTGTTACAGAAGAAAACAAGGAAGAATATTTGAGTCTAATGACTGACTGGCGTATGACGAGAGGTATTGAGCAACAAACTCAAGCATTTTTAGATGGATTCAATGAGGTTGTACCAATTGAATGGCTCAAATATTTTGATGAACGCGAATTGGAACTTTTATTGTGTGGAATGCAGGAAATTGATACTGAAGATTGGCAAAGACATACAATTTACAGGCACTATACAAGAAACAGTAAACCAGTTGTTTGGTTCTGGCAAGTAAGTATTTTTTTACTGATAACCATGAAAAATATTTTATATCATTTTTGTTATTACACTTAAAATTAGTGAAAAAAAAAAACAATTTTTTAAGCACTAAGTTTTAAGATGATTTTTTTTGATTTGAAGTAATAACTAGAAAAGCAGTTAAACATTGTGTTTTGCAGGTATAAGTCAATCGAGGAAATTTTACCATAAAAATAATTTAGCCAAAATGGTCTAGATTCTAGCGTTAATAACTTGAAAATATTGCAATCTTGAATAAAACACACATTACATAAAATATATTCCTTTAAACTCACCGCCACAGAAAACTATTTATTTCATAACATTGCACAGTGTCATTCACATAACATTCTATGTCCCTTATCGTTTTTGCCCTTCTATCTATTTTTCCTAGCCGCAACCATAAGTACAGATCGATGTTTTAGAAAATTTTCTTGCGATTTCAAAGAAATACGTATATATAAAAAACAGTTATTGTTGTATTTAGGAGATATAAACCAAACATTTTTTTTTAATGGAATACTTTGTATATTTGTATTTTTTTATATTCTTCTGTTTATTCTGATTTTAGTGACGGACTGGGTGTCCCAAAAATAGCTGACAGGTACATAGGGGTAGAAAGAGGGTGGAATTCTGAGATAAAAAGTCGTTTGGCATTTTTTCTGTGTGATACACTCTTAATTAGTTAGGAATTAAATAAGGTACCCAATCAGGAACTCGCTTCCGATCATTAGGAAAGACATGGTAGGGTCAGTAAAGAGGCGAGGGGGGTATTGCTTCAGCGGGATTGTCCCACCACCACCGAGAGCATTAAGACTACAGAAACACGGAATAACTTCAATTATTTATTGTTTTATTTTATTAGCAAAAAAATTTTTTTTCAAAAAAATTAAGAATGATTTTTTTTTTTATATGAATTCAGTAAGAAATTGCGAAAGCCCGGTTGTCAAGTAAAAAGCAAAAATATTCAATGAAAAAGAATTGAATAAAAATACTCGAAATTATTTTTTTTTTTCAGAAATAAAAAAAACTCGGAAGCCGGGACTTTGGGTTAATAGTGGGGATTGCGAATGAATAAAAAATTGGTAAGAGTCCGCGGGGTTTTAATTTTTTATTTTCACAAATAAAAAAAATTCAGAAGTCTTGACTCGTCTTAGAATTCCACCCCCTTTCTACTCCTATGAGAGCCTGTTAACTATTTTAGGAGCACTTGGCAGTATACCTTGCCTAGTTTCGACATTTATATATGTCATATATTTGCTTTGATAAGTTACACAAAATTTTGGTTTATTTACTGATCCTGCACATCTTTCCTAGTGGTTGGTCCTAATAAGTCCCATGGCACCGCGGCCTAATTAGGCCTATTGTGCGTCCCACTACTAGTCCTATTCAGCAAGTAGTTTTGTCCTTTTGACAAAGTCCAAAAGCTTCCTTGCTGACACTTCTCTCAGTTCCTTGGGTTCCAAATAAGGTCTCCCCAGGAGCGTCATTCTACTACATGCAAATCCCGGGCACTCGCCCAGGATATGTAAAGTTTCATCTGTCGAGTCACATCCTCGACAGACCGGACTGTCTACAACCTTTAGCTTATGTAGATGTTTCCTAAAGTGACAGTGTCCTGTTATGAGTCCCGTCACTCTCCTGAGCTGGATTTTATTCAAGCTCATGTTTTGTCTCAGTCCATTTGCCCAGAGCCCGCCTGACCACACTGGGAGATGTACCACAGAAGGACTCCCGGCCAATGAACTCTGTCTCGGATCCCTTCCTAGCAAGTTCATCGGCTTTCTCGTTCCCACAAATGCCTTTCTGCCCTGGCACCCAACACAGTCTAACTTTATTATTGGTGGCCAGTTCAGTCAGCATTTGTAAACAATCCCACACCAGTTTTGAACTTATCTTGTGTGCTTCTAAAGCTTTAATTGCAGCTTGACTATAAGAGAATATATATATGAGTTTACGTTTATAACCTCTACGTACATTCTCTGCCAGGTAGGCCATTATCGCGAAAATTTCTGCTTGGAATACGGTAGGGACCTCTGCCAGACTATAGCTTGCACTCCATCTGGGTCTGAGTCCATATATTCCTGCACCTGTCCCTCTGGCCATTTTGGAGCCATCTGTAAACCATACTAGGCTCCATCTTGTCAGATACCATCCCAAAAATTGGTTCTGACATAGATCTGTCCATGATCCTGGAATATGAACTACCCCTCCAGTCGTTGTTATTCATTAGTCAATATGCTGCTAGAAGCGCTTCTCTTTCCACCACTATATGCAGCGGTGGTAGATTTAGCATGACTTATAACGCAGCTGTCGGGGTCGATGCCACCGTCCCCGTTATACCTAAACAGGCCAGTCTCTGAATTCTATTCAGTTTTTCCCTAGCTGTGGTCTGTTGTGTTTTTTTTGCTACCATACCACAGTGCCTTAGAGAATCCTAGATCTTACTATCGATGTATACATCCAGTATGACATCTTTGGCTTCAGTCCCCAGATGCTCCCATTAAGACGACGGCATACACACAATGTCTGTTTCGCCTTACTCACCACTTTTTCCAAGTGCACATTCCAGGTAAGCTATTATCCAGTATCACTCTTAGATATTTTACTTCCCTGGAAAATCTAATGCAACTCTCCCCTATTATAGGTTCAAAGAGTCCAGTCAAATTCCTTCACATAGTCAAGATTGTATTGAAACCAGTGTGTGGGTATGTTCTATTAAATTTTCTATACAATGTGTTTGGAAATAGTGGTACTTCCTTTGAGGGTAGATTTGTCGACTCAAAATAAGACAAAAATTTCATATAAACATGGGTCCGTAAATCCACCCTATGGGAGGTAGACGCGTTTGAAGATGATTTAAATAAATGTGTTTTTGCCAATAACTTTTAACTGCTTTGAAGATGAGAGATAAGTTTTGGTTTTGGGTCATAAGTTACTACTAAAGTGCAAAGAATTATATGGTAGTAAAAAATATCGAGAAATTTACTGAACAATTTTTTTTTTTTTTTTTATAACGAGTGTTCAAATAAAAACGTGGTCGAAGTTGGCTCTGACACATTGGACGTAGGGCGTAGCTTATAGCGACCAACTTAACCTCATTTCTCAACGAGCTGTATAGCAGCTGTCAGTTTCAATAACGTTAATGACTATATAACTTCATTTTAAAGAATAATCGTGATAACAATAATATAATAATATATATAATAATTAAAGGAGCTGCGGAAAGTGTCCCCCTCCTTGTTATAACACTAAATGAAACCAGGCTTCATCAGAAAAAAAGGTGATATGAAGTTCACCGTAGTTGTTTAAAAACCATTCACAAAATACAGCCCGTCGCGGAAAATCAACTTCATGAAGTTCTTGCTGACAAGTTAAACGATAGGAGAATAAACGCAAATCTTTTTTTAACACTGTGTGGCAGGTACCGACTGATACTCCCACCATTTGTGATAAAACACGTACAGAAGTTCTTGGCGCATTTTCCATTATTTGTTGGACATTTTCTTTTAATTCTTCAGTCCGCTTTTTAGGTCAGCCGCTTCCTTCTTTTCTTGTTACACTGCCCGTTTCACGAAAAACATTAACACAACGCTGAACTACACTTTGAAAAATTTTGTACTCAACAACGCCGGGAAATTGATTTTGAAATTCTATGAAACATTCCTCAATAGAATACTTCCATATTCCATCAATCTTGCGTCCATTTCTAAAGTAGGACTCTATGATAAACACTTTTTGTTCTTGAGAAAACACCATTTTAAACGCTTTTTAAAACGAAAATATTCAAATTGATAGCGGCGATATAGCGCTTTGACAAATGACGTTTAAGTTCATTTGCTATACGCTACGCCCTACGTCCAAATTTTCAGAACCAACTTGACCACGTTTTTATTTGAACGCTTGTTATATATGTGGTAATAACCCCCCCGGTTTGCATGGCATGGGTTATAACCTGGATCAACTAACATGCTCAAATAATCATGTTTCTTAGTAGTAACTTATCGTCCAAAACTTATCCCTCTCCTTCAAAGCAGTTAAAAGTTATTGGCAAAAACCCATTTATTTAAAGTCATCTTCAAACGTGTCTACCTCCCGTAGGGTGGATTTGCGGGCCCATGTTTACATGAAATTTTTGTCTTATTTTGAGTCAACAAGTCTACCTTCAAAAAGTAGTACCACTATTTCCGAACACCCTGTATAAATATTTAATTTCTCTATTAACAAAAAATGTCACCATAAAGTTGGTTTTATAATGCCCTATTGTCCACCCGGTTGATAGTATTACCTTTAAATGTATAAATTATTAGATCCTTCTTTGTTTACTATACAGGGCTGGAAAATCCACATGGTCTATCTGCCTTTACATGAGAGCGACAAAGTAAAGTAAAGAAATCGGTGCGATAGACAAGGATGGCTATAGTGAAGACGTTTCATAATCTGAATAGTCACCACCCATTTCGGGTTACAAGTGGGAGTGACTATTCAGATTATGAAACATCTTCAATGTAACCATCCTTGTCTATCGCACGGATTTCTATGACTTACTTTATCGCTCTCACATAACGGCAGATGAACCATGGGGACTTTCCGACCCTGTATATTTCATAATAACCCTTAGAAAGAACTAGGTACAAGGAGTTCAAACTAGAATTTCTTTTGGATTATCCTATCATAATAAAGAAAAACATATTTAAAAAATTGTAATTTGTTTGGATGGGGTTGGTTATCAAACACCTTTAGCACATAGTTTTGTACTATTTCCTCAATAAAATATTTATATTTGTTTTAATAGCAGAAAAACAAAAATATGCACTAGTTTCATGGCAATTTTGACTTTATCTAGGGTTAGTAAATAAACCAAAATAATGTTCAAATTATCAAATCAAATATATGACATGTATATATAATTGTAATCAAGAAAAAGAGAGGAATCCAAAAAACGTCGAATATGTTAATATGGAGTTAAAAAAACAAGAATATTTATTTGAAGTTGCAAGGAAATTTTTTTAAATTTTGATCCTCACCATTTTTTGCTGTATACAAAGACAAAAAAGATAAGGGTCGAATGTTATGTGATAGACCCTGTACATACCGGATGATACTATCACACTGTCATACTATCACATTATTGCCTAGTTTTGACCATACAGGTCATACTGTATGGTTAAAACGGCCTTAGTAAATAGAGTCCATTAAATGATGACAGTCATTTACGAAAAATGACAAAAATGACCAGTCACTTAAAAATGACCAAGTATTAGAATGATACATTTTCTTTACTATTTCAATAATTACTTTAAAATTAATATTTATAATCATAACAGACTTATAATACTTCTTTTCAGTAATTATTCTTTCTTAAAAATAGATGAAATCAATTTATACTTTGCGGGCGAAATTATTTATTTATGTATTTATTTATTTATTTATACTGCATACATACAGACAAAGGGACAGTCCAATTACATGTATACAGTTGAGAAATGTTAGCTAATATAAAAAACAAGTTAAAAATAATGTATAAATAACCACACATGCAAAATACAATGTAAAAAGAGAGCAAAGAAAGGAAACAAAAAACAAAAAAATGTCAGTTAAAATGTACATAAAACGCCCAATCGTATACGTATCATAAGTTTGAGAGTAGCTTAGTCCGACTAATATTAAAAATATCAATGTTGTATATTCTTAACAAATTATTCACCGTACACAGACACTGTTCTAGGGGTGAATTAATATTAAATATTTTAAAAAGTCTATATCTAGTTCGCATTCTCATATCGGGTACATTAATATTAATAGACGCCAACAAATCGGGGACAACAATATTACTATGTAAAATATTATAAGCAAACAAAATCTGAGCCTTTTCTCTTCTCCTATCCAAAGAGGTCACGCCAAACTCTGCTCGTTGATTGTTCATATGTTACCATGAACGGGTACACTCCATACTCTTTATCGCACCTTCGCTTCAAAAGTGTCACAACTCAAAAAATTCAATTTTTGACATAATACCACCATTGATTTTGATTTTCAGTTAGTTGCAGTTAAAATGGTTCCAAAATGCTATTTGGTTTTTGGCCCCTTTGCTGAAACCTTTATAATCATCAATAATGTTTTTAAACAATTTAGTTACTTTTGTCGCTAGAGCTTTTTCATCTTTTCTGAAAAATGAAGGATTTTGACTTGTGACACTTTTGAAGCAAGGGTGCGATATATTGACCTCAAAAGCTTCTTCTGTATTTTCTCTATTGTGTCCTTGTTACTGGTAGCTTGTGGGTTCCAAATCACACTGAAATACTCCAGTTTTGATCTTACAATTATGGAGGGTGACCCAGAGATAATATAAAAACACTATTACTATAAAGCAAATAAAATATAAAATGATTTTTGTAACGGTTCAATATTATTTGTCTTATATTAAATGCTGTGATGCTTGAAATTTTCTTGATAAAATCTCTAAAAATCACTGCGAGAGATCAAAACCGATTGGCGTTTGACCATCCCCTTGATAATAATATGCCACCTTCTCCCGCATAACTCTTCAACTTCTGGACTACTCCTTGAGATAGAATAAGGGGGGTAGAACTATTATTATAATAAGGGTTTTTTTATTTTGTAAAAACCTTTGTTTAGTCGCATATTTTCAAAATTATCATAGTGAATAGCTTAGCTGAATTAGAGAACATAAAGATATAATTTTTTTTAGTTTTTAGGACTTTTTATTTTAAATTTTGTTCAAATAAAAAAATGTTCGGTTACTAAAACTAAAATTCTTTAAAAATATTAAGACGCATAAACCCGCTTTTCACATAGTACTAACAATTCGTATAAATATGCAGATGACGCATGTGCACGTCTTAGAAAAATAGACACACCAATGATTATTATTGATCTGGGTTATAACCATTTTAATTTAAGTTAGGGGCAATTACTTCCTATAATAGTAATGCTACTTCTGCACTTCGTATAAGTGTCCAGTGAAAGTTAAAGGCCTAACTTCTCTATGAACTTAAGGACAATATCAATTAGAATACTTACTTATCTATAATCTACAACTTATCACAATGCTTCTTTTGGCTGTTGTCCAACAGATTTACAGCGAGGGGGTTGGGATGCATTTCAAACTGCAATAGATGTGTCGTACTCGCCTATTTGGCTATTTTTAAACTGTGATGTTTGATTGTCACACACAAGGAGCATCAGTGATGATTCTCAATCATCTGCATGATGAATAGTAAGTTTGGAAGTGAAAAAACATTCAAATATTTGTTATTTGAGGAAGATGCAAACTTGATAAGTATAATAAAACAACAATTCAGTGGCAATATAATTTTTGAAATTTAATAATGAATAATGATAAAAGTGACTGGTCGCATTCTCTGGTTGGATACTTACTGATTTTTAAATGACTGGTCATTTAGTCACCAGTAAAATGATATAAATTTTAAGAGATTTGTCTAATACAGAGCCTTCATAAATGTTTACAAGCCACGTGACCGCCGAGCTTAGGCCACTAACATTGCAGAACTGGTACTGGTAACGAATAATCTCTAAATCTTGGTGACACCGATATTAATGGTTCCTTTACAGTTCACAGCCGAGCGAAACAGAATGTTCTGTTTTAAAGTAATCTTGATCTTATTATTTTAATTTTTAATTTTACAGAAATTTTATTGCCAACATGAAGGAATTAAAATTATTCTTCCAAGCAAAATTACTACTCACTTGGTTTGTAATTATTTATGAAGGCTCTGACTAAAGGATATATGATTATTCTATATTTATAAGAGAGATACCATAAGGTGTACCAAAGGTATAAACTCTTTTTTTTTAGTTTGTGAAACAATCGGATAATGAAAAACGAGCACGGTTGCTACAGTTTGTGACAGGTACTTGTCGAGTACCTGTTGGCGGTTTTGCTGAACTAATGGGATCAAATGGTCCACAACGATTTTGTATTGAAAAAGTGGGAAAAGAATCTTGGCTACCTAGATCACACACATGTTTCAATCGTCTCGATTTACCACCATACAAAAGTTATGAACAGTTAGTGGAAAAACTCACTTATGCGATTGAGGAGACCGACACATTCGGACAAGAATAAATATAAATGTTTATCTGTACCTGATTCCAACATGTCACTTTTTTTGTTGTCACAAAACATATATTATTTGCTTTTTTGTCTACTTGATTTCATAAAGGGCCTGATGAATAATAAACAATATTTTATTAAAAATTGTAAATATATATACCGTGAAAATATAATAGATGGTCAGGTTTTTTGTCAAGTTCTACGATTTCTTTGAAACAGTATTGTGCTTCTGCAATTTGTTTTAAATTGTATTTAAATGTGATACCTTAGAAATATATTGGCCTAGTTTATTTTGTAGTCTTTACTTAATGTATATATGTATTACAAAATAACAAGTATGTTAAAAAAGCATTCAGATGTAAAATTCATATTTGTAAATTTATAAACATTCCAAAATATTACTTTGATTTTAAAGCATATTAATAATTAATTATAAGGCCTCAACTAGAACCAAAGTTATTTTTTTTTGTCGATTAAAAAAATTCTTTTAATCTACATATTTATTTTGTCATATTAATTTTAAAAATGTGGAAAAATGTAATATGCATACATAATAATTTATGTAAATAGAATATATTTGTAAATATAGAACTATATATTAAATTATTTCAGAATCTTGTTTTATTGAGAACTAGTTTTATCCTGAAAAGGTAGTAAGCAGAATACTCCTATAATTTTCATGTTTCAGGTGCATATTTAGTAATATTATTTGCTTCTCATCAATTTATAGAAATGTCATTAATTACCACTCTAGGAGTTTGAACCAAGGTTCCCAGTTCTAGGTAAGTATATTCTATTTCAATATATAAATAAAAGTACAGTTATTAGTTATGGATTCTTAAGACACATGCGGTATGTAATAAAAATACTAAAGTGAAATAACGACCTTCAAGGGACCGTTTGTTTACGGTTGTTATAAGCGATGACATAATAAGCAATTACATATATTTATTTAAAATTTTTATAGAAAAAATGACAAATTTACAATACAAGTTTTTAAATATGTACATGTATTGCTTTGTGTTCAAAAGATCTTACGCGCTTTATTTTCAATGAATTGTTTTCGAATAGAAACTTATTTTATTTCTATCCTTCCAAATTGTTTAAATCATAGTGTAACACGGTACATTCTTTTTCTTGCTTGCATTAGTTTCTCCGTTTTTTGTCTATATTTATATGTGATTTTTCTTCTTTATTAAACACTTCTCTTCGAGATCGTGATAGAAAGTGATAATTAATATATATATATACTAGAAGTGACCCGGCAAACGTTGTTTTGCCATATAAATTATTCCTAGGATTATTTTAGTAGATTTTTCATAAAGAAATTTCACTTCTACCATCTATATTATATTTAGTGTTATTCAGTGTATATCGTGTATATATTTTTTTTATGAATGGTAATAGTAAATGTCATTATTATGGTTGATGCACAAACAATAATAATGGCTGAAAACTGTAGGGAGTGAGAAACGGCTCATTGTGTGAGAGAGATCTCATCCCTACTCCGTGCTGTTTACTGGGTCAGCAGTGACACCGGTCGACGCCTGGCGGGGATAAAAAAAATGATCAAGTGATAATTGATCAGTTATCGACCGGGGTTGAAAATTATTGAATTACTAATATCGCTATTAAAAAATAAGGGTTGATGGTAGAAGGGTGAAAATTTAGGATTGTATGTATTTTTTAAGGCCACATCATAAAAAAATAAAAAAATAAAATAAATTTTGCAAAAAAAAACAAAAAAAAATTTTGGGGTGGACCACCCTTAACATTTAGGGGTATGAAAAATAGATGTTGGCCTATTCTCAGACCTGCCCGATAAGCACACAAAATTTCATCAAAATCGGTCCAGCCGTTTCGGAGGAGTACGGGAACGAACATTGTGACACGAGAATTATATATATATATATACAGGGTGTTTGTAAATAAGTGCGAAATATTTTAGGTGATTGCCGGTTATTTTGTGAAAAAAAGTTTAGGTCGAAATATGCTTCATTTCCGAGATAGTGTTTAAATTTAAATTTTTTATTTATTTTTATTATTTCGAAGAGTTTTAAAGATATTGACTCGAAATTTGATGGCTGTATTTTATTCTGAAATATTGACAGCAACCTAGTAGGTAATGTATCAATAGAAATTAAAAATACACAACGTGCAATAAAATATGTTATATTTTTTTTTCTCAAAAACGGTGCATCCTACGAAAAAAATTGAAGAGACCAATTTTATTCAGAATTGATGCGGATTTCTAAAAAAATATAAAAACGGAAAAAACTCAGTGGCATACCATTTTTTTTATTAAATAAAGGTTGTGGCATCACACAAACGTCACTGGTGCAAGTAGAAATATTCGGATCATCCCAAAAATGCCCATTTATCCCTCCAAAGCATTTTTCAAATTTTGAATCAGTATCTAAAACTGAAATAATGAATAAAGATAAATAAAAAATTAAAATTTAAACTGTATTTCGGAAACGAAGCATAATTCGACCTGTTTATATTATATTCGAACTATTTTTCACAAAATAACTTCAGCAACCACCCCCTAAAATATTTCACAGTTATTTACAAATACCCTGTATGTAATATAACTGTATGCATAGATAAGTCGTAATTTGTCCCAAACGTACTAACTGGTGTCAAAAGCGTGGATGCCGGCGGGGCGGGCGGAAGAACGGTGCATTGGTTTTAAGGACGTATATCACTATTGGTCGTTATAACCAATAGATTCTATGGTAAATATATATACAAACGTGTCGTTAAATCCGAAATGTCGTAAACTGTGTCAAAGTAAACGATATTTTTAATATGGTATTTCTATAGGATTTAATCGGAACTTCCAAATTCTGTTGTTATATCCAATATGTCATATAAAGCAATGTCATTATAACCAATTTTCACTGTATTTTTTTTGTCGATTTATTTCTTGAGAATTTGAAGTCTGCTTAAACATAACTACTTCCATTAATGAGTTTTCAATATGTAAACTATAAGAATAAAGTATGAAATAGTGCATAATAATCCAGTAGGTACTGCATTTTGCGTCTATGTTTTGACCCCATAAAGGATCTTTGTCACAATTTCAATTTTGCCGGTATTAGGTGTGTACATTGTAATGTGTTTTTCCTCACTAAGATTGGTTTGAAGTTTCAAAATTGTAGGAAAGTAAGGCAGAATTTCAACATGCAGTGATTACTGGCACTAGTTTGTTTGCATATGGAACAAGAACATTTAAATAAAGGGGACTATGCATGTCACAGTCTATCTCATGTTGGGTGAAGCTAGACAAGGGGAAAGCAGAGGGCTTTATTTTCATCCAACTGATGCGCGCGATTTCATCTCCAATGTCGTACGTTTTTGATGGGTCAAAATAAAATATTTTATAGTCCTAAGTCAATATATTTCAACAGCTACTCAGTACTCAATAACTGTAACCATTTTTTTCTTGTTGCACCATCCCCAAGCATCCTAAAAACGTTCACATTTCACTTTTAGAATACTGAGGTAAATTTTTAGTGAGACATAAAAATATATTCCCACAGGAGAACATCAAATGGTTGAATGAATGCAACTTTCAGTTGATTGCATCATCGGTATTTTTATGTATAAGTGAACCACCACCATATTTTTGCTGTTGTATTTATTCAGTTTTTATGCTCGTGCATTTAGTAAAATTGTAAATATATTTTTGAAAAGGTTTTTGTCGTAGAGGAAAATGAAAATGATGAATGATTAAAATTTGTAATGTTGGGTATAAGGGATAACATTGAAATACCTATAAATATATTAAATATAAATAATGTCTGTAACTTATTTGTGGTGCAGCATTTTCCTTTGATTTTAATGGCCAAACGTGGTTCATATTATTGTTTTCTTACTATTTCAGCAAAAATTTTAAAAAAATACCAAGTCAGTTTTATAAAATTTTACCGTTATTCAAATAAAAGTTACCCACACGCACGACAATGGCCACAGTTGCATATACATTCCAAAGTCACCTTCAAGCACGCTTACCTGTGGAAGGATAGCTGATGTGGATGTTTATAATCCAATTTCTTACAAATTCTGCACTGTCTAACCATATTCACACCTTAAAAGTTTATCCAAAATACATGTATAAACACTAATCACGTTTCACTTACTAAAATCACAACTATTTTCTAACAAGAGACGCCATATTCTGCCAACCACGGCAGAACGAACGAGGAACACGCTACAAATTATTGCGTAGTTGCCAAGTCTTCAAACATGGCAAATATGAAAAATGAAAAATAGTTTAATATGTACAGAATTTAACAATATTGTATGCATAACTTAATAATACTATCCTATAATAATAATTTTCACAATTGTGATAAAAATTGCGATAAAAATATTAAGTACATTTCCAGTATAATTATACAGCTGACAACAATGATACAATTAGACTGTGAATAGACCAGGCTTCATCTAGAAATGTAAATAAATAAGTCCCCTTTATTTAAATGTCCTTGATATGGAAACATAAAATTCACTGCTGCCATTAATCTATACACCAGTAAAGTCAAATGTAGTTGTACTTTTTGCTTCAGTTTAAGCTTTGTGCACATTGTGTCTATTACGCATGTAGTTAAAAATGCTGAAAATTATAATTAGTTCTTCAACTAAACTATAAGACACATATTAATGTGCTTTGTTTTTTTTTTTGAATAATTTCTTGAAAAAGTTTTGATTTGATTTAAAAAAATATTTATTCAAGCCATATGACTATGACTATGTCTCTGTCATTGATCAAGATATTAGCAGAATGTCTGTAACACTTCAGTAAAATTTATAGTACCCATCCCGCAACATTTTTTTTTCATTTTTTCCCATAGCCCAAAAACAGCCTTTGTAACACGTTGTTATCATCCAAGCTTCATAAAACATGCATTTCTAATGGAAAGGTTTTATGCCGAGCTGAACAAAATGAAAATAAATATGGTTACTCTCAAGCGTGCACAGAAAGTTTTAATAAGATTTGTAAACACACATAAATGCATACAAAAATTGGCATCATATAAGGCCACTATGTATCAGTGTTCAAATAAAATTTGATTTTTTTATTGCTGAGAAACTATTTGTGAATTGATGGAAAATGTATCCGTAAAAATATATTAAACAGAACATATAAATTATTGATTCATTATATACAAGGTGAGTCAGAAAGAATGGGTCAACGGTAAACTGGAGATACTAGACACCAAAATATTATGTTTGAGCTCATCATGCATTATAGGAATGTCGCTGGTTTAATAAATACAGGGTGTTTAAAGTTTAAATTTTATTCTGAAATTTCTCAATAATTCAGAAAGTTTTGATAGCATGACTCTGAAAATAGGTAGTGTTCGGTTTTTTGGTGTGAGAATTACGAATTTGAAGCTTATTTTGACGTTGCTCCTAGAGGGCGCTAGTTTCACCATATTATTTAGGTAAATCAAAACATATTTTTTTTAACTGTTGAGCTATGCTTAAAAAAAGCTAAAAATCTAAAAGAACGTTCAATTCTACATAAAAAATGTACTCTTGTTTAGGTTGCCTAACTTTATCGGTTTCTGAGTTATTTGCATTTAAATGTTTCAATAACAATTATTGATAATAGTAATAAAAAGTGTCCACCACCTACCTCAATACATTTTATTATACACTCTTAAATGTCTGAATATTAAACAAAATGTCCCTATTATTTTTAAATGCATTTGCAGTTACTTGTATTTTCTGCCTCAACTCCTCAACAGAATTAATTTCTTCACGATACACCACCTCCTTCAAGTTTGACCACACTGAGAAGTCCAGAGGGTTTAAGTCTGGACTTCTTGGTGGCCAACTAAATTCATTCCCACGTCCAATCCACCGACGAGGAAAATGAATACTGGCGTACTGGCAAGGCAAAATGTGGTGGCGCACCGTCGTGCATACACATACTCTTTCTTAAAGCGAGTGGTACATCATCTAGAAGCTCATTTAAATTATGTTGAAGAAAGTTTAAATAATGAGGTCCAATTAGATTGGGTGGCAATTCAAAAGGTCCTAAGAAAAAAACAGAAATTAAACCACACCAAATATTCACCTTGAACTCATGTTGAAAATGTCTTTCTTTTACAGCATGCGGAATTTCACAAATGATTGTTCTTCCAATTGAAAACTCCTCGTCTAGTAAATGTCGCCTCATCAGTAAATAAAATCTTATAAACTAAGTAAATTGTAGGCGAGCTGGTAAATCTTGAGGCAATAAGTGCTGAACCGGAATATAATGATATGGATGGAGCATTTCTTTTTTCAAAATTCTACAAATGGATGATTGGCTTACCCCCGTTGCCGCACTTAACTGACGAGTACGAGTAGTAAAATTTTCTCTTCATCGACTGTGATAGATTTTGGAGTACCATGGTTACTTTTTGCTCGAAAAGATCCAGATCCGCCTAAGCGATTGTAAAGATTTATGAATAGTTTATAATTAGGTAATCTATTTGGATACAATTGCACATATCTTCGGGCCGCCGCATGTTCATTAAAATTAGCCTGAGCAAAAACACAAATCATATCATGCATCTCACTGTTGGAAAAATTATGATGTCATGGCATTTTTTGATCACTAGTTAATAATTTTGCACAAATAATAAATCACACGCACGCAAAATACGTTAATTATTTATTGACATGAAAATTTGACACAAGCCTACTTAGAAAAGAAATAGCAACATCAGCGCCTGAAAGAAAATCACCACAAAATACATTGAAACTTTTAAATGCAAATAACTCAGAAACCGATAAAATTAGGCGACCTAACCAAGGGTACATTTTTTATGTAGAATTGAACGTTCTTTCAGATTTTTAACTTTTTTAAAGCATAGCTCAACAGATAAAAAAAATATGTTCCGATTTACCTAAATATTATGGTGAAACTAGCGCCCTCTAGGAGCAACGTCAAAATAAGCTACAAATTCGTAATTCTCACACCAAAATACCAACACTACCAAGTTTCAGAGTCATGCTATCAAAACTTTCTCAGTTATTGAGAAATTTCAGAATAAAATTGAAACCTTGAACACCCTGTATTTATTAAACCAGCGACATTCGTATAAGGCATGATGAGCTCAAACATAATATTTTGGTGTCTAGTATCTCCAGTTTAGTGTTGACCCATTCTTTCTGACTCACCCTGTATATACAGGCTGTTACAAATTTGCTACTCACTACAGGGATCTCGGAAACGGTAAGAGGTACGAAGTAGCTTAAATGGGGGCAAAGTTGCGTAATCAGGGGACCAACAATTATGCCTCTAAAAAATCAAGGCTAACATGATTAGTTTTCGAAATACTTGAAAAAAAAAACAAAATTTTGTAAATCCATTTTTGCTTAATTTCAGCCTTGTTTGAGGAGATATTGAAAAAAGAAGAACACTTTCTCATGGCCACTTTTTGCGCTCTATCGAATGGCACAATCAATTTTTATTTGTAATGTTTCGTCTCTCCAGGACCATCATCAACTTCATTTTTTTAAATACGACCATGGAAATTTTATTAGATTTTCTGCAAGCCTTCAAGGCCTCCAATACTGTACTGCCTGCCTCAGCCCTAACCAGATTCAGACGTTTTGTCTCGAAAAACTCATCTTCAGTGTATTCGTTCCAAAATATAAATTTTTTATTTAGATTTCTTTGTTTATTGAATTATCATACACTAAGTGTTCCAAAATATAATTTTTTTATTTAGATTTCTTTGTTTATTAAATTATCATACACTGTAAGTGTCGTTAGACCCTGTGAAATCCATCTAGTTATTTAAACTATTATCACCACGCATCAAAATAAAACATTATTATTCCCCGTGTCCATAGTTCTATTCCAATCTATTTTTTTCAGGATATTCATACAAATACATCTGACATGCTCTTTCATAGTTGCAGTTACAGATATAATAAATTCCGATAATATTAAGCTGATCTTCTTTTTTAACCTTTGCCAAAACGAAAATGTTTCTGAACATTTACTGAAATTTTTTAAAGAATAATATTCAGTTGGCGTTTTGGTTGTTCATATACATTTTTAAGAATTAATTTGTCATAAAATTAAAATTGTAATAATGTTTTAATTTTGACGCAACAACTTATTGAGTTATGTATGACCAAGTGTTGGTAATAGTTAATAATAATAAATGTTTTATTGTAACACGTGATGGTAATAGTTTAAATAACTAGATGGATTTCACAGGGTCTAACGACACTTACAGTGTACGATAATTCAATAAACAAAGAAATCTAAATAAAAAATTTAGATAAATTTAGAACGAATACACTGAAGATGAATTTTTCGAGACAAAACGTTTGAATCTGGTTCGGGCTGAGGCAGTATTGGGGGTCATGAAGGCTTGCAAAAAAAATAATAAAATTTCTAGGGTTGTATTTAAAAAAGTGAGAGTGAAAAGTTGATGATGGTCCTGGAGACACGAAACGTTACATACAAAAATTGATTATGTTATTCGATAGAGGGCAAAAAGTGGTCATGAGAAAGTGTTGCTCTTTTTTCAATATCATCTCAAACAAGGCTGAAATTAAACAAAAACGGCAAAATTGCATAATCAGGGGACCAACATTATGCCTCTAAAAAATCAACGCTTACATGATGAGTTTTCGAAATATTTGAAAAAAAAAAAACGAAATTTTAGAAATCCGTTTTTGTTTCATTTCAGCTTTAAGGTGATATGATATTGAAAAAATCTGTATGTGACAACCACTGAAAATCTAAAACCATTTTCATAATTTAATTATCTTTAGTGGTTTCCAAGGAAAACATGTTTCCCAGGACATTTTGATCATCCTTTGGCTCTACAGGGAAAAATCTGCAATTCAGTAATAGTAAACTACGCTTCTTATTTTTAGTAACATAAAATAATTATATTAAGTTGTTTAGAGTTATAGATATGCTGGTTCGCTTTCATTGCCCCGAATTAAAAAAAAAAGGATAAAATTGGTTTTATAAACAAACCATTAAAGTAAAACATAAACATAGTAAAGCATAAATTATAATGTCGGCTTGTTTTGAGACAGTGACACGGTTATTTTTATTGTATTTGAATATGCAACATAAATTTAAGAATAGCAAAAAATATATTTGACACTATGTTAACACAAAGCAGAAACTCATTATCAGGAAACAGAAGACTTTCAATTTCATAAATTCCGAAAAAATATGAATATGCAAGTTACAAAAATGTTTCAAAATCGAAAAATTTTAAAAGTAAAGTATTACAAGCAGGTGATGAAGCAAACATCTTGATTTTTACTTATTGAAAGCATGAGCAGTTAAACATCCTGTTTATGCAAACTTAAAATTCTCTTTAACAACCTTGTTTTATCAATAATTTTCTTACTACTTAAATTTTCCATGACCACCTTGTTTCATTAACACGGACTGTTTTTCGTAAAACAGAAAATTAAAATTTTTCCCGTCAATCACTTGAACCGAAGTCATATCGTATAACTATAACAGAGGCATAAACATACTCTCTACAACTATAATGTAACTACTTATTTTTATTTACTGTAAATTAGCATTATTTTTTTATCTACAATATAAATTATCTAGTATTATCTGAAGAATTTATCAAATAAGTCATTCTTTGGTCCATCGTGTTTTTCTGTAGGAAATTTATCTTTAAAAAGACTATTTTTTTCTTCTTCACTCATGTTTATTAAATTCTCAATAATTTCTTCTTTTCCATATTTATCTTTTTTCTTAATTATGCAGAATTCTTTGTCTCCAATTTTTTGACACACAGTTGTTTCTTCATTTCCTTTATTATCTTTTACTGTACGATGAGTTTCAATGGACTAAAACATTAGAAAATAAAATTAATTTTAGATTTTGAATATCAGATAATGTGATAATTGCTGCAAAAATATATTATGTGTATATCACAACAATCAGAGAAATATAGACAAGATTATTTTCTCTCTCGTGTAGTCTCCAGTGCTGCATGGGTTTAATGTGGGTTTTACGAGGTTTTACAGAAATGTACTTGTAATCTAAACATACCATTCTCTCTCTAAAACCATAGCAAAAATAAGTAATTCATACTTAACAGACAACATGTCTATGGATGCTTGTGTTCAAAAGTACAAAAATGTAGTTTTACATGGACTGACATATGGAGTGTCTCCTACTGAAAAATGATTATAAATTTAGTAGTTAATATTGTCATTAGAACTGAATTCTATAGTGTCAGTTAAGAAACACATAAATAGCTAAACATTTTCCAACATTTAACATTTACATGGCATTTTCAGATCTTAATTATATGCTTAGGTATATTTATGTATTTTTCACAAAATTTTCTTGTTATTAAAATTACAGCATTACGAATTTTGAAAAATGGGACATTAGTATGAAATTTATAAAAATTAACTACATCAGAAACGAAAAAATATTTCCTATGCAGTGAAGTGACCCTTTTATACAGGGTGTCCTACCTAAGAGGGATTTTTCTGAACACTGTAACTGTAAAATTTATTAAAAAAATGGTTTTAATAAAAGTTGTCTGAAATCATGTGCATAGCTAGTTTTTCAGACTTTAGAGAAGAACCTGATTTTTCTGGAAAACTGTTAAAATATAAGTATGGACAACCTTATACCAGTCGAAAGGGCATTCAATTTTGCATTCACCCATGACAATTAATATGGGTCATTCCGTTTGAAAAAAAAAGTTTTTCAACTCATAAGATTATTAAATCAGTATTTCCGAGTCTGAATAACATACAGGTTTTGCTCACAGATGACAAGATAGAGTAATGCCCAAGCCAACTAAAAACTGCAGATTTCTAACTCTTACGGTTTAGATGCTATCTAGCCTCATTTAGAGAGCTGAAATGGTGATTTTTTTAAAAAATAACTGATTATCTAGAAAAAGGTAAGTTTTAACACCATGTACGTTTAATAAACTATACCTAATATTAACCAAGGAAATAAAAAATGCAATAATATACAGGGTGTTCCATTGAAAATAAGTAGCTGCATGTTTTCTTTACAAAGCCCACATGATTCCAGGCAACTTTTATTAAAACCATTTTTTTATAAATTTTACAGTTGCAGAGTTACAGAAGAATTTCTCTTAGTTGTACACCCTGTACATGAAGATATTAAAAATTTTCATTAAAAAAATTGTTCAAAATTAAAATTTATCCCCAAATTAAATTAAAGCCTACTTTAATTTTTCAGTGGATGCATCTTGAAGTTATTTATATTCAAAATTTACGTTTATGCCCAAATTTGGTGTAATGGGTTCTGATTTTACAACTCAATGATTTATAAAATGAAAAAATATGAGTTGGACGATTATCTTCAAATTAGTTAGACATAAATTTTAATACATATATATAAAAATGCACTTTACCTAAGCAGAAACATATTTATATCATTCTTAAAATATTCATTCAGATTTGTTTTTCAAAATAAAAAATTTCAACTCAAATATTCATCCTGTATGTACATGTTAAATGTCGGAAAAAAAGAATGGTTACTTGTGTTTCTTAACTAGCGCAGTACCTATATTACTGGGTGCATTCAACCGTGCAAGTGCTGAACTAGAGCCGCTAGGTCAGCACTCTAGTGTTTCCTATCTTATTTAATTTTTTTTTTTTAGAAATGCAATTACCCAAGACAAAAGATTTTCACGTATAAGATAGGAACATGTAACAATTACAATTTACATTAAGAAAGAATTCGTACTCTCGCAATGCTTTTGGTTTTTAACATAAGTAAATCTTTAATTTCAAACCGACCATTCCGCTCTCCGATTCCCACCTGGAAAAAAATAATAAAAAAATATAAAAAAAGCCAAAAATATATTAGAACAAAATAGGCTTTATAAACAAATAAAAATCAAAAGAGAGGTGAAAAAAATAAATCTAAAAATAAAGAATAGAAATAAAACAAATGAATTCAAAATAAAATAAAATAAATAAACAGAGAACCTCCAAACCAATATTAGAAAAGAGTCATACCGACAACCCAAACATTATAGAAAAAAATAATAAATAAAATATTTTTTGAGACGACCTATGGAGAACCAGCCAAGGATGTCAACCCAAGACTCGTTTGGATTTCCCGAAGGCCTTAGAAGAAGACAATATTTAAGTCGTGATTGTACAAACGCATAAAAAAATCTGTGTGATTAGTTTATTTTTGTGAAATGCTCTGAGAACTTGAAATTCATATGAATGGTTTATGGTTACATCCTTGGCAGTCCATTTTTTTAATAAATAATTCAAGTGGTTCTTGAAGCAATCTGAATCCATTTTGACAACTTCAACAAACATTGCTAGCTCATCTAATGAATAAAAATGTGGCCTAGAAAATATGGCAACTGCTAAATTAGCCAATTGGTATGGTACCACTTAGCTTAGTCCCTACTTAGTGCCTGCACAAGTTGAATGAGTTCTTTGTAGAAGACACTTATATGTTAGCCAAATAAACAAGACATTCTTCCATGGAATTAAAAATAAAAAAGTTTCCCATCTTTTCAACTCACACACTATATATTTGCTAAAATTTTATAAATATCTTATTAATACCATTACTACTTTCTTAATATCTTAGTACACTACAATCAGAATTATTTTTAAACCATTGCATTGTTATTTCTAAATGCAAGTTTGTACAGAAAATTATATTAACACTCCCAAAAGATCCAACGAGAGAGAACTCTGGCTTTATTTATCTGTTTATTATAAGGAATCACCCATATTTTCTAACAATGTAACATATATATGGCTGAATAAAAACTGAAAATTTTCAAATGGGTGAATTATTCTGCATGAATTTCAAAAAGACATACCCCATCAGGATTTCTTATTGTTTTTATACTCTGGCTTTGACCGAAGAAATACCCTTCAGATGTATGGTTTGAATTTCTATTTCTTTTTCTACCAAATACAGAATCTAAATCTCCTAGTTGAATTCTGAAAAATTAAGTAGTAACATTAAGTAGCACATTTGCAAAAATTTAAGACAATTCTTTGAAGTGAGCATCATTATGTTCAATTGGAGTAATAGTTAGAGGTTATTTCTTAATTATCATAATTTGTTTTAATTTTATTTAGTTAAAAATTATCGAATTCATTGAGGATTAACTTCATTTAAATTTATCACTATTTATCATTTACTTCTGAACAAAGCTCAAATGTAAGATAATGTTCTAAGAAAGAATAATATAATAAGGTAATGTTTTAATAAAGAATAGAATAAATGGAATAAAATAGATGCTTCATTTAAATTAATTATTGAGGTCTAAAGTTTGGAAAATGTTTTTTTAACATATTAAATGACCACAAATATCAAATGGTTTAAAATAACCGCCTAGTTTTTTTGCTTAAATAATACTTTTACTGAAATTATTTAATTATTACTTATCTCTATATCTTAAAGCATTTCAAAAACGGTAAGTCTACAATTAAGTTTTTTCAAAATTTACGTATTTTTTATTAAAAAAATTTAATAAAACGAGGTGTTCTATTTAAAAATGAATAACTGTTATAAGTACTAATTTTTTTAGAACACTCAATCTATCAATCTAGGTATTTTTAATTTGACCAGCACCCACACAGCCAACTAAATAGATTTTTTAAATAAATTACCCAGTAGCTCATCTTATACATATATTATGTAAAAGTACCAAAGTCCCATTTTTCTAAATTACTATTCACTAAAATAGTAGAAGTAAACAGGAAAACATACAAATAAAATTTAATTTTGTGGAAAAATCTATATTAATTTTTTATTTAAAATATTTTCCATAACTAGAGTTCTCTGTGTGCATAGAAATGATCTTTTATAAAACAATATAATCAATAATTTTTACTAACCACTACTATTATCTCAAACATTTGAGGTCTGTTCCAACAAGAGTCAGGGATTGGTTCTGAACTGTTCGAAATGTTTGGTCAGCTAAGTTCTAAATGTGTCTTCAGTGATTATATCGCAAGAACTGGTTGGATGCACATTTCGAACGGTTCAGAACCAATTCCTGACTCCTGTTGGAACAGACCTTTGGCCATCAAGATTTCTATTATGCTTTCCGTGAAAATAAAAGTAAAAATGATTCAGTCCCTAGTTATTTTATAATTAAAATTTATTTTACCTTCCATCAATATCCTTATCCATTTTTTCAAAATGTTTTTGTGAAGGTTTCTCATAACCACTTTTTAAAAACTGCTCACGAAGATATTTAGAAGAATTTTCTCCTTCATTAAATTCAGTATCTTCTTGTAACGCTGGTAAATTACTATGAAAATTGGCTACAGAATTTTTTTTATTTTTTTTATGTTGCTCGAAAATAATTTAAACATACTTACAAAAAATTCCATTGTCAAATTCTTGAGCCCCAAAAAATTTTAATATTTCATTCATTTGATATTCAAAATATCGGTGCATCTCTAATGGATCCGAGAAAACGTGAAAACTAGGTCTTATATCATCTCTTGGATTTGGAGATCTAAAATATTAACAGCACATATAAAAATTATTTCACTTTAACTTTAGGTAATAATCTAATAATAATAATAATAATAATAATAATAATAATAATAATAATTATTATTATTATTATTATTATTATTATTATTATTATAATGATATACCAGATTAGCCCTTGAATTATAGTGAGAACAAAGGCTCATAAGGCCGATCGCAAACACAGCCACGTGTGGTCGCCACAAGTGGCCGCCACAGGTAGCTAGAAGCACATCTAGAAGTAACTACTAGTATTCGCTATAGATAGCCACCACATGCGGCTAATTTTTTAACCAGTGGCCGCCACTTTTCATGAATTTTTTTTATGATCTGTTGGAGTATAGGTCAGCTCGTATATCCCAAATAGCAGGATGATTTTCAATTTCGGATATAAACACATCTTCATCTATATTGTTCGCCATTTCTGTGCTCATAATTTCCAAATATGTACCAGTAGAACGGTGGCGATAGACTGTGGACGCGTGGACTGTGTTTACGCCGAGTCGTCGACTACAAACAGCGAGGTGCGGCTGCTGCCGTAGCATGTGGCTTGATTGAACCACTGCCAACAGTGTATTTGCGAAGAGCCTATTTAAACTTCTTATAAAATACAGTCCGCAGAGTGCAGCAGCCACTAGTGACGACCACACATGGCAATCGGCCTAAGGGATTTATTTTTACGGTTGTTAAAAATAATCACTTGACGTGGCACAAGAAGAGTTTATTCCTCCGGTACAGGGTTGTCAGATTATGTGAATAAATTTTGCTGTTATTTAATAAAAAAATTGCCAAAATCGTAAAAAAACCTTATGTATAAGTGTTACGAAGTGACATGCGGTAAGAGTGGTGAGAACAGTGTTAGGGAGTTGAGGCGTCACCCGTTGACAGACATTTACCATGTATATTTGTATATTATATTTCTTATCTAGGGACTGTTACCACACAGACATTATAGAGTGCAGTTCACTCCAAAACTTTGTAAAAAGCAAACCGTAATATAACACTTAAATCATTCAAATATTTATTTCATTCAAACACATTGTACAAGAAAAATAGAGCACTTCAAATTCACAACAATAAGTTTTCATGCAAGTTTCATCTTTTTATTATACTGATGTAAAAATTAAAAAAAAAGTTATTCTCTTATACCAAACCCGAGGCATTTTTTCTTTACTGCTTCTAATTTATAATTATTTTATTAAAATATAAAGACTATTTCTTTGAAGACTAAATATTTGGTGCATTTTATCTCCAGTACTTTCTGCACCAAATCGTTTCTTTCGTGCATAGGCCTTGCAATTTAAACTTGTGCAAATCTTTGGCTATTGTCCTGATATTGTTATCAATTTACCAGCAACACATTTCTCCACGAGTGCAATCTAATGTGGAGGAAACAAAAAAAGACCTGATTAGGAAAACAATTTGTAACTCATTTACAGGTTCTTCCAGAACAATGTATTATAAATCCTAGGCCTAGTAGATCATCAAAACATATTTTTTGTCATTTGTTTCTAACATACAGAACTAAAGTAAATTTTATTAAACATTTTTGTCTATATTTGGAAAAAGTAATTTATTATTTCTGGTTCACAACAGGAAAACAAGTTTTATTTTTTGGCATTCTATTACCCATAGGTATGTTATTATGAAACACTTAGTAGAATCTAGCGTGAAAGTTAAATAAATTTGTTATTTGTAATGCTTAAAGCGAGATTTGCAGGAAATTAAAGATAAATGCCAATCACAGATTCATAAAGATGTCACATACATTTTTTTTTTAATAATGGCCCTTTAAAATTTTGTTTTAGCTTTTTCATTACATAATAAATGAAAAACAGAAGGTTTTTATTTAATATTGTCAAACAAAAAATTGAATGTTTGCAGTAAGAAGTTTAAATTTTGATGAGTTGAAGCGCAAGAAGCCACTTAAAGTCACTACAGGCTGTGGAAAACATAGCCCTCTGCGCGCCACCGACGCGCCATGGTACGTAAGAAACACTGACATATTACGAGACTTACAATACACAAACGCTACACAGATAATAAGACAAAACGCAGAGAAACGGTTTGAAGTAGCTGCTAAACATGACAATCCTAGACACCAACTTTTTGACCATGGGTGACCACCCCAACGACATTGTTCCCAATTTGGATAAAAGAAATATAATGTAGCCAAACCTGCTTCTCAAATTAAAGATTAGAGCACTGATAAAATCAGAAATAGCGCAAATGGCGCAATTTTTTTTTTGGAAATTCGGTAATAATACAATGTAGGTACTCTTATTTATCATTTGCTTATTCACCTCTTTTAGTCTCATAATGGCGGGCTATGTAATGGCCAATACAGTATATGATTTGACAATTGTGGACTAAATAGCAATATCATTTTGTTTGCTGATAATATGACTGCAGTTACATGCATCAGCATGTAGTCTTAGAAAAACTATTTTTGCTGTAACTTATTTTGGATAATCATTGCTAAGTAAACGTTAATATATCGCTCATCATACCATATCGTTTGATCCCTGGATTTGCCCATTTTTATGTAGTGTACGAGTTACACAGATTTAATTATCGTTGTTCTAGAAGTAACTCTTGTCATCAATTTTTATTTTATTTACTCTAAAAAATTATAATTTTCAAAAGTTATTAATAAACATAAATAATGGTAATACTGTGTAGACTGATAAAAAATCAAAATGACTGAAATACATAATTTACATAAGTACTTATATCTTTCGTTTTAATTGAAAATTGATATTTACCTTCTACTTTCCTCATTATCGCTTTGGTCCTGCTGAAGACTAAAAAGATGAAAAAAAAGTTAGAGAAAAGAATATCAATATAGGATACATATTACATTCTGTTAAATTGATTTTCATCAGATAAACCAAAAAATCGTTTTATATAGTCCATAATTTGCTAAACAGTATACTTTTAATTTATGATATATAATGGATGTAAAAATTGAATATTTTTTATTTTTTTTGTACTCTATAATTAATTTCTTTTATTTGTATCTCTTGTCACTTGACTCTTTCTATCTGTAGATTTATTTTATCTACGAGATTTTATACTCCATCTGTCATAAGTCATAATTAATAATTATTATGTAAATTTATGTTTACCATAGACAAGATGTTTACTGGATGACAGCTTATCGCTGATTTTATAGTGTATACAAAGAGTGAAAGAAATGAAAAAGGAAACCTTATCCTCTTACATCTTATTAAAGTTTAAGGAGTCGCCGTTGTAGCGCTGATGCACTGGAGGGTCTAATAACGAAGTTCGCGCCATTATTCCATGGCTAGAAATTGGCCTCAATGATTTGGGATC